CTGGAGCACTCATTGTTCTTCCTCTTTACAGGTATGCCGCAATATCGCATTGCGGTTACTATTCCTCTGTCTGGCCTGTAAAGGATTTGTGATTGCCCGACCAAGTAGTGTTCAACCCACTGTTTCCATGATAGGCTGACTGACCATCACGATGGAAGACAATGTCCTCCATGCAATTGTCTGTCAGGACTAGAGCTAATTAGTTTGTTGGGCTACGATGGCAAACAGGAAGTCGCAGCTATTTGAGCCAGGGGGGAGGTTGCGGAAAAATGTGTAGTAGAGTCAGTTTAGCAACGATTCCTTGTAAGGGACACCACAGTAGCAGATAACCCCAGATTTCTGTCTTACGGGACCAGTAATGATAGGAGTTTTGTGGGTGGGCACATCAGGCGAAGCGGAAATTAATTAAAATAGTAGAGCGAATATTGGTAGCAAATAATGATAATACTTATTTAAATAAACCAATGTTTAGCAAAGAGTGCGTCATACTTAAAATGAGAAATACGATTAATAGGAAACGAGAAATCCGCAAATAGTGGAACTATGCAAAGAAATACGAATTTTCGGGACTAAACTAAACCCCATAAAGATAGACTTTTACTCTATTTTTAAGCCGAAAAACAACCGCATGTCGCCAATAAAACTAAAATAAAGTAAACCTAAACGAAATAAACCAACTAAACTAAAATAAAACTAAATAATAAACTAAAAACTTAGCTGAAAATCAAATTGAACTTACCATACTAAGATAAGCTAAAACGAACTAACAAAACTAAAGCGATCAAAGTAAAAACTAATAAAATTAAAGTAACCGTACGCAAAAAAACCGTAGAAACATAAGGTGTGAAAACAGTGCAATCCCCGATTATATGAAATAATAAAACGAAACAGGCTCAATGTAACGAAATAAGTGGTATATATGCGTAGTAACTTACAGAGTGTCCCTTACTAGGAATCGTTGCCGTCAGTTTCCTCTTAATTACAGTCTGCTAGGTGCACTGTGATTGACGCATTCTCTCTCTACTACTTGAATGAATGTTTTTTTCGACAATTATTGTCTCGTGAATTCTGTAACTTCTCAATGAAAAACCTTTATATTCAAGGTGTTTGGTAGCCTCGGTTTAGTCCCCCGGTTCTAGTTATTTTTTTTTCTCACAAAACACTGATTTTACGCATAATTGCCCTCTAGACAGCCACCAACTACAAGTGTAAGTTCATCTATTTATTAGTACTTAAATCACAGC